CTGTGAACCATGCAGTGGAGGATATTACGGAAGGAAGAAGCGAGAAGCCGAGATAGACGTGGGTTTGAACCTTTGTGGAATTAATGGGTATTGATTGAGTTAGAGGCTAAGCCTAGCAGTAAGATAGTATAGATAAGGCTGAGGATCAAAAAGAAAGAAGTTATGCCTGATTTTTACTGGAATGATTTCAAAATTTACTTCCTGTGTTTTGATAAGGTTTCTCACGTACGTCTGTCATGCAGGGTTCCACACAATTCATCATTGTTACTGTTTTCGAAACGCCAATTGGTTGTTCACACAGCGCATACCAAGCCTGAGCTTATCTCAGTGTTAGCCGAAACATGGCCACGAAGTGATTCAGTGCATCGTGTCGTGGGTATATGAGAACCGGCAGAGTCTAAAGCCCTAAATTTCAGGAGTGCCGTCGACGGGATAAACGTGCCACGAGTAACAACTGTGAAGTGGATGAGTTCCTTGTAAGCAGAATGAAACGGCAAGCGTATAATCCGTCTGGAATCCTTGACATAGTCAAGTTACTCAGCAAAACCATGGGTGAAGGAGGTAAGATCATTGGCATATTCACCTCCTGGCTACAGCATCGTCTTTTGATGGCAACAATGGTGCTGATTAAACACAAAATATGGAATAATAGATTTCAAGACGAAATTTCGGAAAGGCAATCATCCAATCTGAGGCAGCCTGTGCGGGGCCGCGTCGCGAACGATCGCAACTCCTCCCGTTTCCCTTATTACCTCATAATCTTAGAGTGACCGGCACTTCTGAATCACGACTCTGCCCTTCAGTGAGATACATGAGTATTCAAAAGAGACTTTAGGCGGTCCTGGTGGTTGTATGAAATTCCCAGCATGTGTGCTTGCACAGAAGAAACGGCGAAAGCGACATGCAGAGAGGGTGGAGCAGTACCACAAGGTGAGGAAGGACACCTATGGTTTCGTGAGAGAATGCAGGGAATTTTTTGAATTTCAGGAAGTGGCAGCTCATAAGCAAGCGCTCAAACAGCACGAAGAGCAGCACCTCCGTCAGAAGCGTCAATTCTTCTCACCGGACGCCGGCGCTGTGAGTTTATAGGAATATTGAGGCTTTCCTGACCAAAGGTCAAAAGGTGTGTTTAGGGATGTGTACCTTGTCCAGCATGGGTTACATTGGCGTTAATGAGTCGTAAGAAGCGGTCCACCAATTCGTCAGAAGAGTCTGAAGATGAGGTATGACGACACTGCATCTTTACAGATGGCACCGAACTTACCCTGCCGCATATTTCAGCCACCTCCAAGGATGACTCTATCGGAAGCTATAGCTGACATACGACGCAGAGCCGGATACAAGCTAGGCTTTCATGTGGGTTTCTTCTTTCGAACATTGAGTTCATGGCAATAATTCTCTTTGCAAGAAGTGAGCTCTCTGTGAGGTGCTAGCATTTATTTAGTAATTTTTTCCCTTCTACTCTTTATTTGTAAACCCCATCGACCTCTAGGCGCTATGTTTCCAGGATGATGACAAATCACCACGTCGTAAGCAGGGCAAGTGTGATCAGACGGATGATTGCTTAAACGAAGTCGAATACGCCATCTTCAAGAAGGTCTACCACAATACACGAGTCAAGAGAGAGGTAGGGCATTGTTATAAATTCCAAAAAAACAGGAGCCGCTCAAAATCTTAGCCCTACTTAGATTTGCTTGGCAGTTGTCTCTATTGAAGCAGGAGGTTTCAAGGAGAAATATGAATAATGCTGATCTGATGTCTACCTGGACACACCATTTCATCGTACCAAGTAGTGTTTAGGCCTTTAAACGCCGGAAATGTCAACGGTGCGGCAGTGGATTTGACGGGAAGAGAGTAAAGAGAAACTTCGGATCGCCTACCATAAACGCATCAGAGGTTTGTCTTGAATTCGTTT